TTTCTATCAAACAGCTAAAAACGAACAATCCTATTTGTACAGGTTAGGATGTCACAGGCCCTTTCCAGACCCAAAGTTAATCCAAAATTTCTTCTGATGAAAGGCTGTCTGAAGGCTTGAATCTATATATTCTGGTCATATTCACAGGAAAATGATCGATCTACAGTGTAGGGAAACAGATCAAAGGGATCCTTATGGGTTATTAATTAAGAATGAATCAATAATAATGCAGGTAAAATGTGGGGAAAAAAATCTCAAACATAAGAAACTTACGGAAAGATAGAGATCCCCCATCTGTAATAAAAATTGGACAAGAGAGGATATTGTTTGCCACTTTGATAATTTTATTAAAGATTATAATTAAACTATACATGACCCTTCAAACCTAGGACCAGAACCTCCATGTAAGAAATTCAATTTTTGAAAGCATGTTAGTTCAAGTGGTCCTCGAAACCAGTAAAAGACCTTTTTATATGTAAACCAGATAATGGCCATAACCTAGAAGTTGATCAAAGTGATTGTTTACGATAAACAAACTAGAAAATATATTTGCTTTAAACATAGAAACTGAAAAGGAATCAAACATATTGAGGTATAAAAACTAGGAACCTTCAGTCCATGAGGCGCATGTATGTCCTCGCAGAAAAGATCATCTTCTTAACCTTCTCCTTCTGCGCCCATTTGAAACCCTATTGTAAAGGTCTGGAAGTCCTGTCACAACAGTTCTGCTAGAAGATGAGGAAGGCTCTGTTGAACTAATCTGTACACTGCTATCTGTTGTCTGTATACCTGAATCTATTACAGCAGTTGCATCATTATTCATATGTAAAGGAGAAAGAGAAGCATTTGCAGCGGAATTGCTTGCAGCAACATCTGGAATAAGTCTCCCAGATTGGTTTGTAGCAGCAATGCTAGAAGGTGAATCTCTATTATGAGGAAGAGGATGAAGCAGCTCTCTAGAGCTTCCTATGGGTTGAGGTTGCTGCGGATGAATATATGCTTCAAGGTCTCCAACTAATCTTTCAGCAGAATCCATTGCAGAATTTAATGCTGATGAAAGGGATGAAAATGAAGCAGCTCCTTCCACTAACAACCTTGAAAGGAGACGTGAACGATTAGGCTGCCTGACTCTGGTCTCCATGCCATGCAATGCTTGAGGCTGGGAATGGTGAGGTTGATTGACTGAAAAACGAGTTCTATCAGTTGCAGCTGCACCAATAAACCGCCTAAGCTCCTGGATTGTAGAAGAAGATGCTCCCCTGCTTATAAGCTGCTGTCTGAGACTCTCAATCCTAGGTGCCTGGGGCCGAGGAGGGACAGTGAAGCCACTTTCTTTCAATTCCAACTCATGGTTGCTAGAGTTGTTTTTACTTCCATATATTGGAATAATGCCTGTTTCAGCGACTTCTCCCTTACAAACAGGGCATTCCCTTACATTTGAATAGTCAAACGACACCTGATAGAAGCATGGCCAGCAGAATAAATGACCGCAGCAGGTCAAAATAGGATCCCTTGCCATGTCCAGACAGATATTACAATCAAAAAAATTCCCAGTGGTGCTCACTGTCTCATCTATATATGGATCCATGCCCAATGCTTGAGCTACTAAATGGGAACTGTTCCTCTTGCCTGTTTTCCTATTGTTGACCGTTCTTTCTTGGACTGCACCAGCCTCTTCACTAGCCAATCTACCTTCATTTTGAGCATTAGTTCTGGTCAACTCTGCTAACACAACTGTTTGCTCTTGGACCGCAATCCCACCATATTCTTGAGGCATCCTGTGTTCATCCTGAGCACTAGGCACCATCATCATATCTGCGACAATGTTATTTATTTGAACTGAATCATGACCCCGTCGCCACCTCTGACGCTGCCTAGCTCTCAACGTTACTGCTTCAAGTTGCCTAATGCGCTCCTCTATATGGTCATGGGTAGATTCTAGCTCATCCAATATAGAATCAAATCCAATCACTGAAGTAGGGGTTTGGTCCAAGGGCTCCTCGTTCAAATCAAGCTCCATTTTATCTTCAGTTCTTTAACCAGGTCTATCTCATCAGGGACTGCACCTCAACTGTATCAAGGAACTGCTACAAACTAATAGAAGGCAAATCATGATACCGGGCATGCAGGACAAACATTACGGCAAATAAAATAAAATGTGTGTATCTATGTGTGTGTAAGCATCTTTACCCACAATTCACATCACATTTGTTTTTCAAGAATTTCTCTTAAATAACGGTTCCAGAGAAATATACCCAAAATTTCTTCAGCGAAAATAAAATACTGGTTATGTATTTCGGAATGAAAGATGGTCGCGCAAAGAAGATCTAATTGAATTGAAACCTAACAAAGTGAAAATTTCAATTGAACGGAGAGAAGCAAGATTTACCATTCGCATCTGCCTTGTCAGCGGGTTGATCCATGGGGTGCTTCTTCTACCTCTAAAGTTGAGATATGCAAATTGGCCGGAGAGATGAGGAAAATCCTTGGTGACAACAATTCGGTCCAAGTTCTATGCATCTGAAGCGGCGAGTGGGGAAATGTTATGGAGGAAATAATTGGGATTTTTCGGCTTTTCCCATTCACAACACAGATTGGATATCAAGCAAGCATGTAAATTTACGGGATTAATTAAAGTGAGCAGACAGATTTAAAAAACCAAAAAACAAAAACCCAAAAAACAAAAACAAAAAACAAAAAGAAGAGAGAAGAAAACTCATTGTTTAATATTAAAACCAGATTTTCGTTCCGGTTAACCCTTGGCGGTGATTTTTTTTTATAACCAACGCGGTGATGGATTTAAGTTTCAGTGTTTGGATTTGAATATAAGAGAATTTGGTTCCTACATTTAAATATACCAAAGTTTTTTGGGTTTAGAGTTTATCTAAATTTAAATTTATATTTTATTATGATTTTTTATAATTTTCATTCTTTTATTATTATTGATATCTCTGTTATTCTCACATCGTCTCTCATTTTTTACTCTATCTCTTATTAATTAAAAAATAAAAATAAATTTATTATTTATCATTTTTTATTTTTATTTCAAATTTTAACTCTTCTATCCTTTATTTTTAAAACTTTTTATCCTATCCAAATAAATACATTTAAATGCATGTTTTAAATTTAATATTTAAAATTTAAATTCAAATCCATAAACCTAAATGTTGCTAAAAATAATTTATATGTATTTTGGTCTAGCTTAGTTTGTTGTTGTACTAATTCTTTTTTTTTTTTTGTAAGTTGTGTGGCACGCCCACTAAAAATGCTTTTTAAAAAAAAAAACACGTTTTAATAAGGGCATTTCAATTCGACATTGTTATTGTAAATATTCGAAGATCTAACATGTATGTTATGTGTTATTACAAACAAGAAATAATTGACATACGAAATGAAACGTATTGATTTTAGGAAACAAAAAATAAAAATAAATAAAATCAAAGTGAACAAATTGGCAATGATTAGGGAAAAAAAAACACTAACTTTTTTTGTAACATTAAGTTCCTAGTTTTCAACTTTTGACGAGGTATCGTTGGAATTTCTGAACTTTTCCTCGATGTGCTTTGTGCAGTATTATTCCACTATTAATAAAGCTTTAATATTGAGCTTAAAACAGGCTTACGTCTTATACATCAAACAAATCTGATCTTCAATTTTTCTCACTTCCATCTGTCAACTTTTTCATCCCACTTAATCAATACATTCTACAAATAACATATTAGGTATTGCTTGTTCTTGACAAGTTATAAATAACATGTTTTATTAAATTGTATGCTATGCCAAATTCACCTTGAAATGTCATCTGATATTGGAAAAGAAATGCATAAGCTCCCTGGAAACTTTTCTTATGAGAAAAGTACAAGCTCCCTCGGTGATTTGGATGCTTATCCTGGAATATTTAGGAAGTAATTAGAATATATTAGAAACATGAACCATTAGAATTTCAAGGAGAGTAACAACATTCCTCACTAAAAGCATATATTACATTCTTATTGGACGAAATGAGGATCTTAAAATGGTTGGGGTTAGTCAGATATGAACTTCGACACATGCGTTGGTCCATGAAAATCATCATCTCAACATGTCTTCATTTTTTTTTTTTTAATGATCAAATTAAACATGTCTTCATATTTATTATTGGGGGAGCCTGTCAAAAACATTTATTGTTGGAGGAAATTGGTCTTGAAGAAGTCCAATACATAGTGTTAGTTAATTATTATCTTCGTTATGGAGACCTTGTTCATTTCACATCTTAAAGTGTGTTCATTTAATATTAAAATACATGTTTTTTTAAGTAGGATTAATGAGCATTATAAACTCTAAACTATTATATGAATAACATTATGAACATTGAACTTTTAAAATGTGCAAAAATTCCTCTCAACTTATAAATTTCAAACACCTAAAACCTCACAATTAAGTTAGAAAATATGATCATTATTTTTAAAGGTCAAGATAAGTGTCACTTTAATGTGCAATTAAGCCCCATAATTATAAAAGTAATGGCCTTTTGTCCAACTTAACAATGAGATTTCAAGTGCCTGAAATTTAAAAGTTAAAGAAAGTTTTTGTACATTTCAAAGGTTCAGATTTAAGATGTTATTTGCACAATAGTTTAGATTTAGTATATTTATTAACCCTTTTAAAAATTATATTTAAAAATATAAAGTATTTTGAGTTTTTCAATATATAATTAATAATTTTTTTAAATGTCCTTAATTAAAGGATATAATTAATAATGTTTATAGGTAAGCATGAAAATAATATAGAATTTTAAATATCATTAATTAACTAACTTATAATAAATTAATTAAAATCCAATTTTAACTTTGAAGGAGGAGGCCAGGAGGGAGAAAAAATTTGTCTCACTTTAGTGCCTGTGCCAGCCTGAAGATGATATATGGAGAAGCTCAGAGATAAAGTCAATAATTAGATGAATCATCATCATCATTATCTAGACTAACGATTAGATCAACCTCACCAAGAGTATGATATCAATGTTTACAAAACAGCTTTCCTTTTATACATACGTAATAGCAGATACATTTCATACATGATCCTAGATAAGTAACTAATCGTAACCAGAATCAGATAACCAGAGGAATATTAGCAGGAAAGCACAAGGAAGAAGATAATCCGAGTGACCTGCAAATTCTCTGATTGTCATGTCCAGTTTCCAAATCCTTCTTCATTCCATTCCCAAAAGAAACTAACGTGATATATTCACTGTCACTGCATCTACCATCCAACAAATACATATACAGTAATACAGGTATTTACAGGTACATTACATGCAAGTTCTCTGTTAGGATTCGTAATTCAGTTTCTAACACCATCGTCCTCATCATTACCGTTTCCTACGCTCTTCTCCGAGCCCTCGTGGTCGGCGACGTCATTTATGGTCTCCGCAACATTCTCCGGCGCCATCCCACCGTTAGTCTCCAAGCACTCGACCCTCCTTCTCAGTTCACTCAACTCCCTCTCCATCAGAAATAGCTTCTCTTTCAGCGTCAAATTCTCTTCTTCCAGCTGAGAAATATGGCCGTCCTGTTCGTCGACCCTGTTCTCTAGTACACTGGTCTGATCGTCGCCGCCAGTGGAATTTGGGTATATCATTTCGAATCTTCTTACGTCATGGTCCAGTTTCCTCTCAACTTCCACGCGCTCTTCTTCCACGTCGCTGTCACTAGACGCGCCGCCGCTGTTGTTATCGGGAAAATCCTCATCGCCTTTAGGTGACCCAGAACGAAGTCGGATCAGACCCTTCATCGAGCCGTACCCGTCGACCCCCCACTCTTGCTTCGCCATGTCCATCAAATCCTCCCTCGCCGGTGAGAACACCGGCGTCGGGAGAATCGCCGGCGTGACAGGACATGGCGAGACCAGAGACGCAATACCTCCGGATTTCTTGGCGCGAATCAGAAACGAAGTGGTGTTCCTGGGAGCAAAGGGAGCAAATCGAGAATTGTTCTTCTTCTTGGGATAAAATCTTCGACCTTTCAATCGATTCTGAAACTGCAAGTCACCATGGTTGGCGGGTTTGTATCCCTGACCCGGTGGAGCCCCGAGCGGGTCGACCCTACGAAGTTCGTTCCTCTTATCGGGATTGGGCCTGGAAATGGCCCGACCCGGAGGATTGGGTGTCTCCGCCTGGGCTTTAAATATTACCGGCCGCTGAGAGAACGGAGCGGTGTTGTCCGGCGGGAACGACGGCGGAAGGGGAAGCCAGACGGGATAGATTTGGCGGTTCTGCAAGATCTGAGGCTGGCCGTTCATGGGTCGAGTAAATGGATCTCAGAGTTAAAAAAATCGCAAGAAAGTTTGGAACTTGATTGCCAAACGTCACGGATAGAAAATCAGAGAAACAAACTCCGAAAACATGACGGCCTGGTTTCTAGATAATGAATTCTTTCAAGTGTATGAACCATGAATTCGGGTGGCACAATAAAAGATGTCTGGGATTTTGGAAACAGAGGGAGGATAATAGAGAAGAGAGATAAATGGACAGGCAGATTGATGGCTGCGAATTGAGATGAACGGTCAGATTTGAGTTTAATGATTTGAACGACGGAAGATCTGATTACTTTCTCTATCTGATATATTCACCGAATTAAGGCGATGGAGACGCGCAGTATTTGGTGAGCTTGATAACAAGAAGCAAGTTCGTAGTACTGTGCGCGTGACTCGTTATGTTTCTTTAGGACAATAACAATTACTCCCTCGATTAAAATTTTTATTTTTTAATAAAATAATTATTTATTTTTAAATTAATCTTATTTTTTTTATATTTACTTTTATTAAACACCTTACAATAAATATAAAATCATTCATTAATATAAATACTTTAAAAAAAATATAATAATTATATTTTAAAAAATTAAAAATAACTTATATTTTTTAATAAAATAAATAAGTCTTAAAGAAATGAATTAATGATAGTTAAATTTTTGATAAAAATTTTTAAAAAATAAATAATAAATATCAATTCAAATAGTTATTAATAGAATTTTTTATTATAATTAAAAAATTATATTTAATATTTAAATACTTATTTATAATTAAAATTGTTGAATTTATAATAATTCATATTAATATTTTTAATTTATTTTTTAAAAAAATTTATCGGAAACCTAACTTGTATAACTTAGTATTTTAGGGCTTAACTATTATTTTCTTTTTTTCTTATGCAATGAACTTTAAGCGAGTGGATACATTCACTAAAAATAAGGCATGCTTGAAAGAATATTTGCAAACTTATTTATAAATTATTTATTAATAAAATATTCATATCAATATAGCAATTTGATCTTATAGTCTTATAAGTTATAAATCAAATTTTTAATAACCATATCAACTCTTGGTAGTGACTAAATTATTTTAATATTAGAGTTTTTTTGTATTTTGTATTATTCTATATTTATTAACACTATATGTGTGTGTGAAAATTGATCTCTCAAAAATATATATATATATATATATATTAATGATGGATGATGATGATAATTAGATTTTCTATGATGTAAATAATAATTGTATACCTTGTTACTTGAAATTTTGGACGAAAAATTTTAAATTCTTATTGATATAATTTTAAAAAATAAAGATAAAATGAAAATATAAATAAGAATAATTGAATTAAGATAAGAGCGATATAAAATCCAACGCATTGATAGTTTTTTTTTTTTTGTCAATAAGGCAGACTCGAATTTTTGTTGCCAAAATAATATTATGAATTGTGAGATGTTATATAGATATGTGAATAAAAAATTAACCCTCTCAATATTTTTTTATTATGTTAAAGATATTTATATTAACATATTGATGCTGTCACGTCACTTCAAATTCTAATATATAAACCATTTTTTTAGGATCCTTGAGGACTTTGTTTTCAAATTCCAATCTTATCTAACTGGGTAGGCGCGTGAAAATTATATTTTTATGTTCATCAATATCAACATAAATAATTGATAGATTACCAGACGAAAAGAGAGGGAGTGGAGATGCAGTTCCGTTGAGTTATGCATGAATTACTTATTTTCCATTTCGTTTTTATGATGGGTAACTTTTTATTATTATTCATAAATATTTTCTTATTAAAAATAATTATATTTGTAGCATAAATTCAACACTAGACATAAATTGCTCTACTAACATGGATTCAAAACTTGTGATAGGGAGCTTATTCAAATAATCGTCAGATAAAAAAAAAATTGATTAATACAGCCCAGATTAAAAAGGCCCAAAAGTTGGGCCGTAAAACTAAACAAAAACCATGAAACATTTTTGGGTAAAACAACATGAAACAAGAATTCCAACAACAACAAAAAACACGAGAACATGAACATAATATAGAGACAAATTTAGGGGGGGGGGGTCAGGTGCTCGCCCTCCCCCATGATACCAAAAACAGAAAAAAAAGAAAAAAAAAAGTTAAAATTGCTTGGTTTTTACTTGTTAAAAATGGAAAAAATAACTTTAACCCGCCACTATAAAGTGCTTGGATCCTTCTTGGATGATATAACAACAATAAATTTTATCTCACTAAATGAAGTTAGTTACATGAATTGTACAACACTATTATATTATATTAGCAACTAAGTCTTTTAAAATATTATTAATCATGAGATCTAGTTCAACAAACATCTATTATCCATATTTATTTAAGATTCGATGAAATTTTATATTAGTTGTTGACACAACTCTTCTCATTTATTCAGGTTTGGGATTGATTATAAATAGAGGTGAAGGTGAATATAATACATAGAAGTGAGGGGAAAAAAGAATATTAACTACAACAACTTGTAAACTAGATGGGATTAGCCAAAAAAAAAAAAAACACCGTTTAGCAAACTGGGAGCTTGTTTGGCTTCTATTTATATTTTTCGTTTTTAAAAACTGATTTATACTACAGTTTTAAAAATTACTTCCAAAACAAAACAAAATAAACATTTGTTTAGTTATGTTAATTTTAAAACATATTTAGAATTAAAAATTTTTTTGATAATAATGATTGCAAGCAGTTAACAATGATAGTTTATGACAAAAATTAAGTGAGGTAACTATGTTTTTTTAATAATCAATTGTTTTAAAAACAAAAAAGAATAGAATAAAAATAAATTTAAGATACTTTCATTTAAAAAAAAAAACAAATGAGAGCAGCTTTGAAAACAAAACTAAATTCAAGACACTTATTCAAATGAATTTTTTTAAAAATTATATTGTTTTTAAAAATAAAAAACAGTTTTTCAAAACTTAAATCAAACCGGCCTGATTCTCCCAAATATACTCTTTAATTCGCTGCTTGCCCATCTCAGCCTGCCACCCGAAACAGTTTCAAATAAACAATTGTGATATGATACTTATCATTACTACAAACTTCCTCTTCCTCTTCTTTTCTTTGTTTTATGTGCAAACGGTTCCACGTTTCTAAACAACTTATTGAAATGTGACCAATAGCATATACTCCTGGGGGAAAATGATAATTAAAGACTCCATAAGGATTTTAATGACAATTATAAACCTTGAATATTAAATATTAATAATAAATATTGAGATTATTTATAATATCAGTTGAAAATTTATAAGAATCAAGTATGAATCTCAATTTTTTATTTTTAATATACAAATAAATCACTTAAAAAATTAAGAAAATACATTTAAAATTATTTGTAATGTTAATTGAAAATCTATGAATATCAATTGTGAATTACGAGTCAATTATTTATATTTTTTATCATAAATATATAAATAAATCACTTGAAAAATTTATAAAATCCACGTAAAGTTATTTGTAACGCCAACTGAGAATCTACGAGAGCCCGTTGTGAATTGCAATCAATCATTTGTGATTTTTTGTTATTGTTTGAAAAATTAACAAGAGATATGCAATAATTTTTATAGCGTCAGCTGGAAATTTACAAAAGCCCATTGTGAATCTCAAACTCTTAGGCCATGTTTGGTACATCAGAATTGTGAAAAGGGAAATAGAATTGGACATGGAATTCTTCAGTTGGCTTGTTTGGTATATCAGAATTGCTTTCTTGAAGGAATCTGATTCCATCAAAATTGATGGAATCCAATTCCATTGTAGACACCATGGAATCCACTAACTCAACATGAAATTGGCTTATGTGTCATTAAAAAAATAAAATAAAAGGTATTTTGAGCTTTAAAAGTACATTCTTTATTTTTTTTATTGTTAAGTTTTTTATTAAAAAAATAAAATAAAGGGTATTTTGATTTTTTATATTTTAAATACATATACTTATTAAAATTATATCATGATTCCATCTTCATACCAAACACACTTTTAAAACTCAATTCAATTCCGATTTCGATTCCGATTCCAATTCCAATTCCGATTCCGATTCCATTAAAAACTCTTCTATCATACCAAACGAGGCCTTAGGTTATCCAAGCGTGAGTGGATACAAGTCAATATGGAAAGTTCTATATCAAATAAAATTAGGTTTAATAACTAATATAAAATAAAGAGAAATGATTTATAAACTTAAGTCTTAAGATTTTGAGCTAAAATGGGATGTTATTCCATTATTGTTGCCCGTCTTTCCTCTTCTCCCATTCCTAGGCAGTCACTCCTCATTCATAATAAGTGGTATCAAAGTTGGTTTTGCTCGAGACATATAAGTCTGTTATTGTGCACACGTTTGATTCTCAAAATATATTGAATAAAGTTGAGCTTAATAATTAATATATAATAAAAATAAAGGATCCATAAACTTAAGCCTTGAAGTTTTGAATTAAAATATGGTGTCCTTTTACTGCTTTTGCATGTCTCTTCTCTCAACCCATTTTACAGGCGGTTGTTCATCATTCCTAACACAAACCAATTAATAAAATATAATTAATATCTTGGGAGAATTACATTCAACCCTCTCAAAAAAATTAATTACATATAAGGACTAAAAACAAGTTCCATTAAAAAAAAAATAAGTCATGTTCTCATTTTAACAACAATCCATTTGACATTAGTCTTTATTTGTAATTATTTTTTTTTTGAGGGGATTAGCTGTGATTCTTTTAAATATTTTGATGGGTTCCTATGTTGGGAAACAGATAGACTCGGCCCTTAAGGGCTCAAGTTCTCAAGTCTAATTTTTTAAAATATTTTATTTTTTAAAGTTTAACTCTTATATAAAAAACTCAGGGTTAGGCTCGTAAGCCATTATTATTATTTTTTTATTTTTAAAATTTTTTCAAATTAAAATTTTTAACTTTAATATTTCATTTATTTTTTAAAAATATAAATTATAATGTTTAAAATTTTAAAATAAATAATAAAAATTTTAATTTTAAAGTATAAACATATATTTTAAAGTTTAAATTTAATTTAAAAATTAAAAATATTTTAATTTTCAAGGGAAAAACAAAAATAAGCCTTAAAGGGCCGCTTGAGCCTGAGCTCGTTTTTTTAAAACCTATTAGGGCCAAGTTTGAAAGTTTATTTTTTTTAAAATATTATTTTTTTAAATTCAAACTCTTGAGTTTAAATGGGTGGTTTTTAATTTTTACTTTAAGTCTTAATTGTCAGTTTTCCTATTCATTGCGAGGTGCAGAGAAC